GGCCGCGCTGGAGCCGGCCCAGGTGGGGCCGGGGGGGCCGGGCCGGGCGCTTTTGGGGCGATTTCTGCCGTTTTCGGGGACGTTTCGCTTGCATTTCTTACTTTTCCCCCCCTTTTCTTTTTTTGAAATCTCGCTTTGGTTTTTGTCTTTGATTTCTTCCTTTGATTTTTTTTTTTTAAATTTTATCTCTTGCTCCGTTTGAACTTTTAATTCTTACTCCGGTTTCATTCCGTACTTCGGTTTTTATCTTATGTCTTTGGGGTTTAATTTTATTTCTTTAGTTTAATTTCTCACCTCGGTTTTTATCTTCTGCCTTTGTTTTTTAGTTTATCTCTTACCCGGGCTTTTAATTTGATTTCTTTCATTTTATCTCTTAGTTCGGTTTTTACCTGATTTCTTCGCTTTCTGTTTTATCTCTTACCTGGGTTTTTCGTTTTATTTCTTCCTTCGTTGAGTTTTCTTCCTTGCTTTCGTTTTTAGCTTATCTCTTGCCTTTTTTTCTTTTAATTTCATATCGTACTTTGTTTTTTTAATTTCAGTCCTTTGGGCTTTTCAGTGTTTGATTTCTTACTTCGGGTTTTTAATTTTATATCGCGGTTTTTTTTTTTTTTCCTTCAGTTCTTTGGGGTTTTTTTCGTGTTTTACTCCTCACTTCGGGGTTTTTGGGTCTCCCTTTGGTTTTTTATTTCAGTTCTCACGTTGGTTTTTTCAATTTGGTTTCTTATTCGATTTTTAAAATTTTGTTTCTTACCTTGGGTTTTTTCTTTTGGTCCCTTCGGGTTTTTATTTTTTGGTGCCTTTGGGTTTTTTGTTTTGGTGCCTTTGGGGTTTTTTTTTTGGTGCCTTCGGTTTTTTCTTTTGGTGCCTTTGGGTGTTTTTTTTGGTGCCTTTGATTTTTTATTTCAGTTCTGACTTTGTTTTTTTTTTGTATTTTATGTCTTTTTCTTTAAATTTGGTGTCTTCCTTCGGTTTTTTGTTTCAGTCCTCATCTTGTTGTTCAATTTGAGTTCTGACTTTCTTATTTTAGACCTCTCTTTGGGCTCTTCATGTGTTTTATTTCTTTTTGAAAATTTTAGTTCTGTGGCTTTTTAATTTTAGTTCTTCGGCTTTTTAATTTTAGTTCTTTTTTTAAAAAAAAATTTCGTTCGCCTTTCCCAGGAGCTCTTGGTTCCCACCACCTTTTCCATCAAAATCCCACTTTTCCTCCTGGTTTCCCGGCTTGGTGGATCTGTGGTGGGCTCCCAGGCTTCGTCCCCCTCGCGGTGCCCGAGGTCCTCGCTGGTCTTTGCTCTTCCCACCTCGGTTCCTGGGAGAAACCTCATTTCGCCAAGGATGGTGTACGTGGACACCGGGGAAGGTGGAGGTGACGTCTATGGTCGTGGGTGTGGTGGGACCGACCCCAAATCTTGTGGGGCTTCCCCTGCTCTACTCTTGGAGACATCTCACAGAGCTTCCTTGTCTTACTCTGCCCAGGAGGCTTCATAATTAGGTGGTTTTAATTAATGCCATCTGGGAAACGTAGCTGAGAACTTGGTCTAAACGCCGAAGCCCCGTTGTCATCCTCACTGGGACATGGGTGGGATGACCGGGGACATGGGTGGGACGACCGGGTGCTCTCCTGGGCACCCACATCCTGCAGCCGCCCGTTGAGGTGCTCCAAGCATCCC